TTATTACTTTTGATAGATTTTGGAAAACCATTGAAAATTTTGTAATTTCATTGTAAGTTATTGAAAATTATTAAAAATAAATGACTATGGGAAATGGAAAACTATAATTTGAGCAAATAATTACACAAATTATTAAGATAAATTAGTATAATATTGGAAAAAGGAAATTATTTGTTTGTTTATATTAGAAATTATAAGATAAATTAGTATATTATGTAAGTAAACCATTTAAAAAGAAAATAAAYTATTTAATAAAAATTTAAATAAATTTGAACAACTTTTCAAAATTAAACAAGTACAATAAATTTTCCAAAATTTTCATAAAATTAAAAATTTCAATATTAAAGACAATTTAGTGTACTTTTAGAAATTTACCATGTGGTTGATACTCAATATATCCCTTTGATCATTTCTATCATCAAATTGATTATTGGATTGACGGGGGATAGTGTTTTAAAAACTTGATCAAACTAGATGGTTAGACCAAAAAGTTGGGAACATGACACCGTTTCACCTCAAAACTGCTTTTTGTCCAAAAAACGTTTATTTGGTTAGCGAACCGCTGACCTGGGCAGTCGAACTGTCAACCCAGACAACAGTTTTTTGCCTTTTTTTGTTTTTCTATTTTTTTTTTGTCAGAGCGAATCATTCGTTCTATAGATAGACCATTCAACCCCAGAACGGTTCACTATCCGATCCAATTTTAAAAACTTTGGATGGGGAGTGGGTGCCTTGCCTTGAGCTTGGCTTGGTGTGCAGCATGGCTTGGCGCATGGACCAACCCGACCCATGACACGACACTACACGAGGCTCGTGCGGGCTCGAGTCAAGGGTCATGCCGAACCAACTCCCAAATTATCCTAGAGGAGGGAGACATGGCTCGGGATGCCTCGTGGGGCAGCACGATACGACTTGCACTTTGTGCGGGCCACAAGCAGGTCACGTCATGTCGACCTAGCACGACCCAATTTACACCTCTACTTGAACCTGCCCAATATTGGGGACAAGACAGGGAAATTCAAGGATTTTCTATCAGCCCATACTTGATGAGGAGTGGGGTGCCTTGCCCCTGAACTCACCCGACATTGAGGAGTGGTTACCTTGCTCTTAACCCGTATGACATAGGGGACGGGGTGGGGATGGGGTAGAGTGTCTTGACAATGGGGCAGGGAAAGGGATGGGGTGCCCTGCCCTGAACCCACCCCGTTGCCATTCCTATATAATTGTTAATTATTATTGGAGTTAAAAAAATATTAGCTTTTATAATTATTTTTATTTATTTTAAAGTTAATCAAAATTTTATTTAAAAATAATAAAAAGAATAAAAATTATTAATAAAACTAAATTTATTAAAAAATATTTGTTCATATTCAATTAACAATAATTATTTTTATAAATCAACATTCAATGAAAAATAAAATTATTAAATCTTCGAGATTTTACCGTGCATCGCACAGGTCCCTGCTAGTATATATTAAAATCAGTCCTGCCATGTCACCATAGCTCTCCTTTGAGAGAAGCTATTTATCTATTTTCTCCATTTTTTTGTATTTTTTCTTATTTTCTCTTGTTCTAAAAATATAAAATAGTAATCATTGCTTATCTTGATTAGATTAAACAACCACCAATAAGATGCACTTTCTCACAACTTAAATAATCTCTTCACCTAAAATTTCTCCTAAACTACCTCCCCCACTTTCTCCAAAATGATCTCTAATTCCTATTTATCTTCTAAATGATCTCTAATTCCTATTTATCTCCAAAATTATCTCTACTTTTGTAGAGAGTTTCTCTCCTAAATTATCTCTAATTCCTATTTATCCTCTCCTCTACTTTTTATCTATATCTATTTAAAGAAAGTTTGGATTAAAAATTTAAGAATTATTTAAATATTCTAACAAAATTATATAATAACTATAAAATATTTATTGAAAACACAAAAAATAATTTTATATTTTTACAAAATATATCACGAAATTATGTACTAACAATTTAAATTATGTTTCTCTGGATTATCAATTTAAATGTTTTTCAAATATTTAATAATATGTAATAGCTTTAAATAAATAAAATTCAAATAATAAAAAAATTTAAATATTTTTTAGATTACTTAAATATTTATCATAACTAGATTTTAAATAGTTAAATAACAAAATTAAGTAATAAATTTAAAAAATTTCTTCAAAGTAGAAAAATAATTATAACATAATATTGAAATTAATAATAATTTAATATTTTTACTTAATATTGTAAATAACTAATTTCACTTATATCAAGTAATAATTCAAGAAAATAACTTTCAAAAACATTAATATTTATTAATAATAACTTTAACTCTTAATCTGTATTTATTATATAATTATATGTACTGAAATTAATATTTATTGTATTTAAGTAATTATTTTTTTTTGTGATAAATGTATTTTCAATGATTATGTATAAATTTATTTTGTTTTGATTTAACAGAAAACTTTCAATAATTATTGAAGATTAAACTACTATTATTGAATTTTTAAATTTAATTATTGTACTTATTGTATTTATTGTATTTTTGTTATTACTTATTGATTAATTAATATTTATTAGATATTAAACTATTATTTGAGATTATACTATTTATTGACTAAGTTAATATATTTTTAGTACATATTGTATTTTTGTAATTATTTCATTTCTACATTATCAATATATTTTCAATAATTGTGTGTTTTTGCTATAAATTTTAATAATTATTGGAGATTAAACTATTGTTATTTATCGGAGATATGATTACTAATTTAGATAAAATTATGAGTGTTCATAAGTTGGCTCGGACATGTCGTAGGCTATTTGGCCAACCAAATTGACCTGATCAGGTTAGGGAGTTGGTCAATTGAAGCAAATTGATATTTTGTGAAAACCGACCCACTCATGTTGTATCGGTTTGGGTCGATTTTCATAGAGGATCAATTGGTGCAAAAGATATAAACTTAAAAAATAAATTTAATTTTAAAAATTACAATGCAATTGTAGGTAAATGGTGGTCACTTAGACCATCAGAACAGATGAGGTGTCAAACTAATACTATGCAAATGCTTGTAATGAGTTCATAACTCATCACACATCTTGAACATAACTCATCACACATCTATGATAAACTCATGGATGATATAGGCTGCGATAAACTTTGAACCTGTTCGGATTTGCGATGAATTTAAATCCATTGCAGAACCACGATGAGCTCCGGACCCATGCGGACTTGCGATGAGTTTAAAGTCATCACATAATCACGATGAGTGTAGACTCACCGACCAACTCGGGTTAAGTTTGACGAATTGCTTGTTAAAAAGTTCAAATATAAAACAATTATATACTCTTATGTATTTCTCTTGTTTAACTTTCGTTTAAAAGAGCATAGGTCCCCATCACCATGCTTCTCCTTGCTCCATTCTCTCCACCATGCATTCTCTTTGACTTTCTCTCCTCTCCCCTTTCCACCACTCCCATTAATCCATGTCACCCAACTACGCAAATTATTAAGATAAATTAGTATAATATTGGAAAAAGGAAATTATTGGTTAGTTTATATTTGAAATTATAAGATAAATTAGTATAATTCTGTAAGTAAACCATTTAAAAAGAAAATAAATTATTTAATGAAAATTTAAATAAATTTAAATAAATTTTCAAAATTACACAAGTACAATAAATTTTCCAAAATTTTCATAAAATTACATTTTTCAATATTAAAGGCAATAGTGTACTTTTAGAAATTTACCATGTGCTTGATACTCAATTTATCCTTTTGATCATTTCTATCTTCAAATTGAATATTGGGTTGACGGGGACAATGTTTTCAAAACTTGATCAAACCAGATGGGTAGACCAAAAAATTGGGAACCAGACATCGTTTCACCTCAAAACCGCTTTTTGTCTAAAAACCATTTATTTGGTTAGCGAATTGCTGATATGAGCAGTTGAACCGTCAACCCGGACAATAGTTTTTGGCCTTTTTTTGTTTTTCTATTTTTTTTTGTCAGAGCGGGTGATCCATTAGAAAGATAGACTATTTGACCCTAGAATGGTTCTCTATTTGGTCCAATTTTAAAAACCTTGGACAAGGAGTGGGTGCCTTTCCTTGAGTTTGGCTAGGTGTGCGACATGGCCTCACCCATGGACCAGCCCGACCCACGGCATGGCACGGGCTCGTGTGGGCTCGAGCCATGGGCTGTGCTGAACTGACTCCCTAAATTATCCTAGAGGAGGGAGGCACGGCCTAGGACACCTCATGGGCTAGCACGACACGACTCACACTTTGTGTAGGCCACATGAAGGTCGTGTCGTGCCGACCTAGCACAACCCAATTTACACCTCTATTTGAACCTGCCCAATACTGGGGGACGAGGTAGAGAAATTCGAGGATTCTCCATCCTTGATGACGAGTGGGATGCCTTGCCCCTGAACTCGCTCAACATTGAGGAGTGTTTACCTTGCTCTGAACTCACGTGTTACTAGGGACAGGGCAGGGATGGGGTTGAGTGTCTTAGCAATAGGGCAGGGGAAGGGATGGGGTGTCTTGCCCTAAACCCACCCCATTGTCATTCCTATATAATTGTTAATTATTAGTGGAGTTAATAAAAATGTTAGCTTTTATAATTATTTTTATTTATTTTAAAATTAATCAAAATTTCATTTAAAAATAATAAAAAGAACAAAAATTATTAAAATTACTACAAATTATTAATAAAACTACATTTATTAAAAAATATTTGTTCATATTCAATTAACAATAACTATTTTTTATAAATCAATATTAAATGAAAAATAAAATTATTAAATCTTCCAGATTTTACCGTGCATCGCACGGGTCCCTGCTAGTATATATTAAAACTGGTCCTGCCATATCAACATAGCTCTCCTTTAAGAGAAGCTATTTATCTATTTTCTCCATTTTTTATATTATTCATTTTATTATAAAAATATAAAATAGTAATCATTGCTTTTCCTACTGTGAAAATCTGCATTGCATCTGTGACCTGATTACATGAAAGAGTAAACCAATTATGTTGCAGCCTCTGAAAATTGCCGTTGAGGAGAACCAGACGGTTCTGGATGACACACCTGATAAACTTGGTATAAAAGTGGTATGTATAACATCCTTTGCTTGCATTTCCATTTTGATAAACTACTTTTTTCCCTTATATTTGGCCATCTAAGCATTTGGGTATATCCGTATGTGAAAGAATGGTGAATGCCATCTGCAGGTCAAAGTTTCAAACTATTGGGAAGCTATAGGTGTCATTGCAGCTCACAAGGCTGGGGTAGACCCAAAGTCTCTCCGCATAAATGGAATAAAGCAAATTAGCTCTTCTGTTGTACATTCTTATAATGGCTATTTAGCTTGAAGTGCGGCATGCGTTTCTTGATCCATTCTGTTTTTTGAGCATGCCAGTTTTCTGTGTACTACACAATTTTATTTTGTAGCCATTGCTTACAGTCAGAAGGAAGCACTTTTTTTCAACAGTAAGCCATTGTTACT